GCCCGCCTGCCATTGAGCTTTGACTGGCCGCCCGAAGGAGGGAATCTCTCTCAGCTGGAGCAGGCAACTCCGCTGGCTAAATTACAGTCATTTGCATGGGCCATTGCAATCTATTTAAATTGATGATGGGAATAGCTCTCATTCGGTGGAAAGCAAGGGGCAAGTTGAGAACTTGTTTCCACTTCTAGCTGGTTGCTTCGTGAAAATTATTGCAATTAAACTATTCAATTAATTTATTTAAATTTTACAAGCTTATCTTTTTACCAGGAAAATAATCAACTGCTGCTCGCTAGAGAGATTTCAAATGAAAATTAAAACAATTCAAGCTGTTCCTAACTTAATTAATTGTTTTGGAAAAAACATAAGAGAAAACAATTTGCCACTGCCTGTTAACCAATTCATTATGGTGGTCAGCTTTAAATGGCCAACAGATTGGTGAATAAAAAGCAAAACAAAATGCAACCAAATAACAAATTTGCATCAAACAACGCATTAAAGGCATAAAAACTTAATGGACTTGAATAATTAAGAGCTGACCTGCATTTGTCGGCTAATCACAGCCACAGCCAGTTGCAAGTGCCACTCGGACAGCTGTGCCACGCACACTTTATTCGGTCATTTGTGAAAATCAGCTAACAAAAAATAACGATATAGTTAATGGCTATATACGCACTTTAATGACAATAAGCAAGTGAGTTTCCAAATTAAGTTATTTGGTTGGTTATCAGCGAAAATAAAACTTAAAAATTAAAACATTTACCTCCCTTTAATCGATAAACATATTTTAAATCTCTTTTAAAACCGCTTAAAGGTTTTTCTCCCTGTCATTTACAGAGAATACTTAACCGATTATTTGCTTGCCGCTGACAAACAGGCCGGAAAATGTCTCTCCGATGAAAAACTTCATTTCGTTTGTATTTACTTTTCATTTTCCATATATGAAAGTCTCCTTTTTTTAAAGGGACTTACTTGAATTTGCATCAACTATTTAATGTTGCAACGTTTGTAAGTTCATAAATGCAAGCCCACAAGGTTGAGGCACTGACAGGTCAAAACTGACGACTGTGGCAGTCTGTCATCTCGGCTGCTGACAGTTCTCCCTTTGCCGGCACATAGTTCACAGCTCACGGCATGTGACGCATTTGCCACTGCGCTTCATTATGCAGGTCTTCCGTTCTTGCTGCTACTTCTGTTCCTGCCCCTTATACAGATCCCTATCTTCTGGATTCCCTGGCTTGGCCTACACCTAGCCTGAGCCTTCCTTCCCTTCTACATGCCAGGCATTCTAGTCGTCCTTCAGAGCTAGAGATGGGAGTTTACTAGGCTGTGTACTTGCTATTAACTTTAGTTGCTATTACTAAGAGTTCTTTACTGATTTTCTAGTTTAATAACTTAAATATTCTAGCAAGGAAAAATCTAAAAATATTTCTTTTCAATATGCAAAGTCTGTTTGCCACCACTAGCGCCACCTATCTTTCATCCGCCGACATTATTGTGGGCGGCAACAACTGCGGTGGGGCCGCTGCAATGCCGCATTATATAATAATGCATGGACGTGTGTACATAGCTTTGGCCCAGTTGACCTCATCGCATGGCTGTGTCAAAATTGTTCGACAAGCTCGTGTACTTGAACTGTCAACCTGTGTGGGTGGTAAAGTCAGGCAGGGGCGGGGTTGGTTAGTAGTAGGTTCCAACATGTTGTTGGTTTTCCTGTTTACGTGCTGTTGTTATTCTTGTTTTTCGGCGGGACAGGATTAACTATCGAGCGGTTTTGCGCACTTTTGCATATTTATAATTGCCAGTCACGTTTGGGGGCCAAGTTTGTTACGGCTTAAACGGTTCTATGAACTTGAAGCGATTTTTGAATGTTTAAAAGGTGTGTAGGTAGGTACAGATTAAACTTTAAAGATAGAAAATTGGAAGGAAATAAAGAACCAAATTCGTTTTCCTTTGATGCTGATTCCCCATGCTTAGCTAAGATATATTTATACCCCCACAACCCTTCAAGGTTATTACTAAGTAATCTTTTTTTAGATCGATTTTAGCTTCAGAGAAAACTAATGCTGCTGCTGCTGCTGAGTGCTTTCCAAATGTATTTCCAAAGTTTCATCGGAATGAAAAAGCAAAATAAACACAGCCCTAGTTCGATGTATTTGGCAGTAAAGCCAATTAACCCGAAATTAATGGATAAACAAAGTAATAGCCAACCTGCTCATCGGAACTGAGAAACGAAATAAATTAATTGCAGTCGCCAGCGGTTTCGCCGCAGGTGGGCGGTACTCTATCTGTGGGTTGGGTGGCCTTTGGGGTGGTGCTCATTGGTTGGCAGGGGGTGGCCATAGGCCCAACAGGCGCCAGCCACGATGCAGTTTCGGTCGACGAGCCGAAACAACAGATGGAAATAGAACTTTAATTAAAAGCTGAGAGAGAGCCAGCGGCAATGGTGCTGGGAGGGGGATATAAAATAAGCCAACATTCTAATAAGGAAAATAGTTACTCACACACACACACATAAACAGGCCTTCAAAAGATGAGATACAAATACATTAACAGTAAGAGAAAGTAAAGTACAAATTGAGTTTAAGTTAAGTTTAAAGTTTAAGGAAACAATTTACGGATGTAAGATATGAAAAAGTAAGTCCGTTTGCCAATATTGTATTATATTTTATATTTCTAACTCTTTATCCTCCCGAATTTCTCTCAGTGCCTTCACAAACACACGCTCGAACAGGGCAAACAGCGGGTGCTCTCTGCTATTTAAAGCCCATTTCGCAGTTGGCCTTATTTCTGGGGGGGATGGCGGTTCGCAGAGACCGTATCTAGGAGCTTTAAGCCAGTCGCGGGGAACCGCATTCACAAGCGATGATATGTCAGCCGACGACGATGACGATGACGACGACGACGACGACTAAGCACGCTCCAGATGCCTCGAAGGCGCCTTCGAGGCCTGTTGTCGCCGTTCGTACGCTTCGGCAACTCAGATGCATTAAAGCCAAGCTTCTGAGCCTCGGCTAAAACTAATCGCGGAGAGCTCTAAAAAACGGGCTGGTTGGCAAACACAAAGCGGGCGACAGGTGAAAGGATGCCACTCGAGTGGCTGCCACTCAAGACTTTTACCCATCACGGGGCCTTAAAGATCCAGCCGCGTATTCATCGAATTCGTACAGTTTCAGGGCCTTTTGGCCATACAATTTAATTAGTCTAGTAAGACTTCCTCGTTATGCTTCTCTCTCTGCATTTTTTTCGTCTCATTCTATTAGGGAAAATAATTAATGAATTCATCTGGCCTAAGTGCATTGCCATTATACTTGACGACAGGGGGATGATGGGCTGAGGATGACGTCGCCGAGTCTGTTGGTTCTTGACGTTGATGAGTCGCAAGAACAACAGAAAGTTATCTCGCGGTTGTGGCACATTCATGTGGCAAACAGAACGTGTGTACTGCCATGATTACATAGCTGATGAAATATGCATTATCCGGCTGGTTTTTGGGGCAAAAGTTGGCGGTGAAAATAAAAGTTGAGAGCTGAACCAACTCTGTATTTGGTCTGCTAAATGGGAGAAAGTTTTAAGCAGATTCAGTCAAGGCTGCAAGAAGGATTTTAAAAGTCTGCTTTTTGCTTTTAACTCAAGATTCTTAACTAATTTAATTGGATCTTTTGATAAGTAGTCAAGATCAAGGCCTAACCAAAGAATTCTTGGCCAAAAATGTATAAACCATTTCTATGCCAAACCATAAAATAACATAAAATAATACCTAGCCCGTTTAAATTCTTTAGAAAAATATTATTTTCCCAAGCTATTCATAATCTTTAGTCATCGGGGCTTTTGGTTAAGTGATTCTATAATTTGCCTTTTCCTACGTATCTATATATACGAGTTTATGCCCCCGCGTCATAAATCTAAATGAAAACGTTTAGGAAGCGAGAAAATCCAAACGCCTACAGCGAGATTATCACCCTGACCAGAGATATATAGCTATCCCAGGGCTATAGATACGTGGCTAGGCCTAAAATTATAAAGAACCCCGCAAGATTTCACTTAGTTTGCGGTTTGTTTTTCATTTGAAAGCAAGCTGAGGGAAAAAACCTCAGGGGACCACAGAAATTTGCGGCAAGCGGGTCCATCAAAGTGTGCAAGTCACCTCTGGATATGGCCCCAAAATGCCAGCACATCTCCCCACCAATCAATTGCACATTGTGCACGTAGCCACAGGAGAAACTATGTGCGTGTTTTGGTTGGATTTTGGCAGGGCGGGTGAAAGGTCCGGGGCTGGGTTTTTAGGGGCGTGTGAAATCGAAACCATTGAAACCGAAAACACTGAATGAAAACTTTTGTGGCCCAGCCTTGGGATCGAATTGAGTTTTCGGTGGCATGCCACCAGGCCACAAACTTTTGCGACCCATGTGGCCATGTAACTGACCCACATCAACCCACAGGGAAAGTACCGGGTCGGGGAGGAATGAGGGTCCTACAGAAAAATCAGCGAATGTCTGGCCAAGATTTTTTTATGGCATTTGCTGGGGAAAAAATATAGAGGAGAGGAAAAAAACCTCTGGAAACTTTGGTAACGTTAAAGCCACTGGGCACACTTCATAATTGTATGCGCGTTCTCTCCAAACTTGTGCCTGCGAGGCCAGCAGAAGTTTCAAGGTGCAAGTGCCAACGTGGCGTATACGTCATAAAAGCCATAGGCCACAATATGACCTGGCTGTGGATTTGATGGGAAGCCTCTATCGAAAGCGAGAGAAAAAAACTACACACAAATTGAATGGTGGGAAAAATCGATTTAAGTTGCACTTCGTTCATTAAGCCGTGTCCTGTCGATGAAAAGCAAAATGGAAAGCGAATTTGAGGGAAATTTTAAGAAGGATTTTTGTGATTTTCACTTCGTGTTGGGAAACATATTGTTCTTAGTTTCAAAGCTCGCTTTTATTTGTTACATTTCATAGTACTCAGATGCAATTTGTCTTTAAACTGACTATCTTGATGGTGAAACCTTTGGCTTTTAGAAAGGCTTTACTTGATTTGATTAAGATTCCCTTTCCCCTGTGACAATTACCACAATAAAGATACTCTAAGCCCTTACCAGCTTAACTTTAATCTTAACTCTATGGCAACGATCGGCCGTTCAGTGACAGACAAGTCACAGTATCCGAGCATCTGGCCTGCGTTTGGGTGGTACAAAGACGGGAAGTACTGTCAAAGAAGGTGCTTCCAGGACAACTGTAAACGTTTCCAAGGTAAACGCCATTAGCAATATAGCAGTTAACATATCTGGGAAAAAGATTTGAAAATGAATTAACTTGTATATAAACAGGGAAACCTTCTATACTCACTGCCTGCAGGTTGTGGCAGTAACCGCGCCATAGGGATACCTTCCGACAGCTTGGAGGGATTGACAATACTCCGTGGCATTTGTAATGGTTGTAGATCCACAAGTACTGGATCCCGAACCAGAGCAAGTAACTGCATATTTAGTGGCACTGCCGCAGATGTTCTCGTTCTCCACGTTGCACACCAACTCCGTGCCGCAACTTCCTCCGATCGATGCACTAGGCGTAGATTCTCCCAAACACAAGGCAAACGTATTCCGTCCAGTGCAGGCAAATCGCTTATCCGTGCTGCACGTATTGCATCCTGTACAGGTGGCCGAAGTTGCTACGGAGCTGCATATAGGTGTGCTGTCTGTGCAGTAGTATCCACTGGGACAGTTGTAGAGATCTCCAATGGGTTCACTCGCAGAGGAGCAGAACTGGAACTCGGTGTCGGAAGTACAGGATATGCCATTCGAATTGCAGGTATTGCAGGCTGCCAGGCAGCCCAGAATATTCACAGCCAGAAAGATCAGTAGGCGAAGCATCTTTAAGTTTAACTGAGGAAATGTAAGTTGTGCTTCCTAATTTATCCAGTTTTGCTTATCTTATCCCAGTGCAGTTAGTACTACCTGTTTGATAAGCTTCGCGATTGCAGTTTAGAACTGTCGCCTGCATTTCATGCACGTGAAAGGTTTATAACCTTTATATTATTCTTTGCCTTTGATATATCATTTGATCTTGGCAAATATTTTCACAATAAATTTGTTGATTTTATACTGTAACTAATTTATTTAGTCATTTAAGTATTTGCAGACGGCAAACTTAAGATGTGGCAAGCTCTTGCTCGATGCAAGTCTGGCTGATGCTGTCTAAGAGAGTGGAGCCCGGACAGGTGTATAACTTTCCAAAGTAGCCATAACCATAAAGATAGCAGAGGATGTACCTGGGAATAATATACCTCAATACCTCAATAATCATAACTCATAATACTCAATTCCTGAGAGATATAGATGTAGACTCAGTGGGAGGAAATCACCCCATCCGCCTCAAAGACCGACAATATTCAGTTTCCCTTGAAATAATCCCGACTTCCCGACTCTGAACCAAAACAAGAAGCTTTCCACACACCGGGACTGCCACAGACATTTGGATTGTCCAAACTGTAAACAAAATCCCCATAACAAGTGCCACCATTTGAAGGACTGGGAGTATCTGTTCCCAAGCACAATGAAAAGGATTTCGGTGCTGCATTTATTGCATCCTGTACAGGCGGCCAAACTTGCATTTTTGCTACAAATCATGGAATTGCCAGTACAATAATGCCCTTTGGGGCAGGTATACACCGGACCGTAGAGCTTTGATGTTTGGGAACAGATTTGGAACTCTTTCAATGACAAGCAGGATGCTCCAGAGGCTCCTGAGCATATATTGCAGGCCGCCTGACAGCCGAAAACTCCAACTCCCAGAATGATCAGTAAGCGAAGCATTTTTGAGTTTACTGAATTTCTGCATCCAAACTTATCTTTCGGTTTCCCTTATCCAAGGGTAGATTCACCTGTTTGTTGGGCTGTGGAAAAAGGTTTAATTTGACAAATATTTAATAAAAGATAGGACTTAGGAAAGAGATGCAGAGAAGTTAATCTACTAATTTACCACTAAAAATCTCTTTTTGAAAGATTTAAAAACATTTTTGTTTCTCAAGCTTCCTACATTTATTGAATTTTATTAAAAATAGTTACAGGGAACCTTTCTTTGATCACTTTGATTAATTGCCAACCACTAGTACATCCAGCTGGGACTGCGGTGCCGCAGAACCGCGTTGAGCTGTCAAAGTAGGTAGAGCCAGGACAGGTGTAGAGTCCTCCTCTCCAGTTGGAGTCATCCAGGAAACAGTAAATGTACCTACAAATTTTAATATATATATATTTATATAAGATTTAAGCTCTCTGAACAAATACTTACTGCTTGCAGGAGGTACTAAGATCAGTGCCATAGGGAAATCTTCCATCCTGCTTGATGGTCGAACAAATAGTAGTAGGTGTTATTGCAGTACCATTAAATACATTGTCATAGGGGCAAGTGGCCTGCGATCCCGTCAAGGGTGTGCCACAGATATCTGGATTGTTAAAATCACAGACATAGTTCAAGCCACAATTCCCCACGATCTGGGAAGGCGTCGTTGTCCCCAGGCACAAGGCAAAAGTCCTGGCAGTTAGGCAGGCAAAGGTCTTATTATCGTTGCAAGTTCCGCATCCTATGCAGGATCTCTCGGCAGGATCTGTGTTACAAATGACATCATTGGCCGTACAATAATATCCCGTTGGGCATGTGCTAACTGGGCCAAAAGGTAAACTGGACGAGCAGTATTGGTAGGAAGTATTCGATATGCAGGCCACGTTGGTCCCGGTAGCGCACACGTTGCAGATCGCCTGGGTTCCAAGTATATAGATTCCTAAGAAAACTCCGGTTGCCAGCAAGATCAGAAGGTGCAGCATCTTTAACAGAAACTAACGATATTGGTGTCAAGTAGTTGGCTTTATGCTATCGGAGTTATCTTATCACTACGGCAAACTAGAACTTCTAGCTTGGAGTTATAATTGCAAGAGGATTAAAAGCTTCTGGGCATATATGGGTCAGTTTTTTCAATGATATGCATTCTATATATACGTTTTGTATTTTTATTAGCTTATTTATAAGAGTGATAATGTGTATATTACCTAATAAACTTCTTATAATATTCCAAATTAATCAAAACATTATGAAAACTTGTCAGAATTTAACAAGTTTTCATCTTTTTTACATTTTTTGATATGTCCGCTTATCTTGCCAAGCTGTTTGCAATAATAATATTTACCTTTAGTCCATTTTTTCTGTAATTATTATCTTTTAATTGTCTGTCCTTCAAACATTTATCAGGTTTTATTCACACCATTAAGTGATAAGCCAAGGTAAATATTTTATTAAAAAAAAATATTTAAAAATATAAAAGCATAACAGATATATTTTATATAAGAACTGCAGCTTATTAATTTATCAAATTTCTTTAATTAATAACTAAACACATGTTGAAGGCTTCGTTGCGACGCAGTTTAAGGCGACGGAACTAAAATAAGGTTTTGTTGAAGGACACTGCCAGGTATTTCCGGTATAGACTGAGCCCTGACGAAAGCAATGGATATACCTGAAAAATATATTAATTAGAATGTGGCAAGATTACCACTTCAATAACTCACCTGAGGCAACTAGAGTCATTGGGATACGGATAGCGACCCGTGGAGGCCGTCGAATTACAAAAGTCTCCGATTACGATGTCTCTATCGTAATAAGAACAAGTTACGCCTGAACCATTTAAGTACGGAGAACAGGGATATAAGGCATTGGCAATACACACTTCGCCAGTCGGGCAGGAAAACTTTAAATATGACACTAAATTCAAACCATCACAATAGGCATAACTACTGGGACTAGTACAGGCGTAGGGGTATGGCGAATTTAAATCACACTTATTGCACTCATTGCAGGCAACTATATCAGCATTCGAAGTGCACCTCTCCGCCGATGCCGTGCAATTAGTGTTATTCGGACAAGTGTAGATCGGTCCCGTTGGGATACTGTCCGCCGTGCAGTTTTGGTATTGATTTCTGGACACGCAGGCTGCTTTGCTTTCAGCCGAACAGATATTGCAGTCCGCCAGGCTAAATCCCACTTGGATGGCCAGCAATATTCCCCAGATGAGCAGATGGCGATGCATTTTCAAGAGTAACTGGAGCAATCATTTAGCTAAACGCAACTATAAATGTTGGCTTTTTATCTAGAAAGCGACTAAAGATTAAGATGTTTGCTCGCTTTAAGGTCTTTTAATAGAATTTTATGCATGCCGAAAAGTATGCTAGCTTTTTAGAAGAAATTCACCAAGGCCCAAGAGCTTATCTAAATTAGAGCAGTAGACAAGGTCGCGCCTCCCGAGGTCTTGCTGGATTAAGAGCAATCTGCTTGCTCTAAAATAGCTGCCAAAAAAACGCCCTATTTAAGCCGTCTGGCTTCTAACCACAGATATCAGTTGGAAAAAACAATTGCAACCAGAAATGTCGCCTAACCGTGTTTGCTTGCCACTTAGCCTGCTGCTTCTGCTCGGCTGTCTGGTGTCCTCGACCCGGGGCACCTGCAACGTCTGCAACACTGTCAACAACCTGACCTGCTATTCCTCGACCCAGATGCAGGCCTGCCAGGCGGACGTTCTGTCCACGGCCACACCCACCGATTGCCCCAGCGGCTATGTCTGCGTCAGCGGATCGAGCGGAGTGCTCTGCGAACCGGAGGATACAGCCGACAGTCAGGCGGACTGCCAGGAGTGCAACAAGTGCGATGCCACCGAAACATTTGCCTGCACCGGAACCCAGAGCTTTGCCCTCTGCCTGGGCACAGACACCGTCCAGAATTCGGTGGGAACCTGTGCCTCCGGTTATGTGTGCAACATCAACGATACCCAGATATGCGGTCTGCCAGCGGATGGGGTAAGTTTGCCTTTCTAGAAGTTATAGAGTTTGTAGAAGGGAAGAGTAACGACGGACAAGAAGCAGGTGCACGAGGAAGTTGAGACAGGAAATTAAACTATCAAGGAATTCTATTCATTTGGATGTCATTTCCACTGTCGGAGAGAAACTATTCTGCGATTTATTCTTCACTTCTTAAAGAGTAAATAGTTTAATTTGCTTGTTTTACTACTTAGAATATGACTTAGTATATGACTAACAGCCACAGCTTCTCTTCCAAAAGATTCTACTACGAAATACCCATTCATAATCCCACGGGATTAAATATTTTCCAATGCCAAAAAATAAATAATAAAGCTGCACATCTTTTCGCCAGGTGATGCCGACCTGTTCGTACACGGATGACACAACCACCAGCTCGACCAGCAGCACCACTAGCACCACAGCGGCGACACCTTCCACCAGCTCCGCATCCTCTTACTGCGCGGCGGTTCAGTCGCAGGGAAAATATGCGGTTGGCTATATTGCGGATACGACGTGTCACCAGTATATATACTGCACCCTGGTCAGTGGCAGTTGGGTTGGTCAGACATACACCTGTCCGGGTTCCATGTACTTCGACAGTTCTTCCTCCATGTGTGTAACCACAATGCCATCCACTTGCTCCACCACTGCGACTACCACTTCTACGACAACTGCGGCTCCCACGCCAAGCAATCCCGCAGCATATTGCCAGGCCATGCAGTCGGCGGGATACTTCCCAGTAGGCACGGATGCCAGCACTACTTGTCATCAGTATGTGAACTGTTTTCTGAACGGCGGCGTCTGGAGTGGCAATATGTACACCTGTCCCGGGGATCTCTACTACGACAGTTCCGAAAGAACATGCGTCTCCACCCTACCATCCACATGCTCCACCACCGTGGAGAGCATAACCCTCAATGGAGTGGTTCTGGATTAAAAGAGGAATCGCTAGACAAAGAGTATTTGAAGGTTTATTCATTGGAGGAGTTTAACACTACAGACAATAGCCCGGATTAACGTAGACGCAGCTCTGAGTCTGGGAAGCGAAGTATGAGTCCGACGGACAGTTATATTCGGCAGATCTGATAAGAACATTCTTCTGGAAATAGCAACTAATGTAGCTGTAAAGATTAAAGTAAATAAATAAACTAAATTATATGGAAAATTTTAAGCATTATTAAGAACGCACCGTTGACAGTATGGATCCGCGGGTATGATGGGAAAAAGACCAGTGGCATTCCTCTCGGTGCACATCTGAGCTGGTGTTAGAGGGATCACTGTGGTGGTTTGTTCCGTGGTTACAGTAGAGTCGGTGCTGCTTTCAGTGGTGCTCTCAGTGCTACTTTCAGTGCTACTACTAGTACTACTCTCAGTGCTACTCTCAGTACTACTATCCAAAGTAGAATCCGTGCTGCTGCTTTCTGTGGTCACTGAGGCAGCAGTGGTGGTGTCCACCAGCTCATCATTTATATCGCAAGTTACCGATTGACCCTCAACCTCGGGCACACAAATCGCATTGCTGCTGGCATCACAAACTGTTCCCGAGGGGCAGTAGCCAAACTTTCCAGTTGGTCTCGTGGCGCCATAACACATCTGGAAAATTCCGCGACTCTGGCAGGCAAATAGATAGTTCACATTGGCATTGCATTGGCCGCATTGCGAGGTGTCGCCACAGCTTGGAGGACGTTGGCTGCTCTTTTGGACACAAATCGCCGTGAGATTGGTGCAGTCGAATCCTTCTAGGCAGTGGTAAAGCTGATCACGATGTGGGGTTCCATCTGAAGGATCATCTTTATGAAGATTGCAATTTTTTAAAGTTGCATTCTTAACTTACCACCAAAGCACAAGTAAAAGGAGGTGGAGTTGATGCAGGCCACTTGATTCGATTGACAGACATTGCAATCGGACACGGTTTGAGCTACCATGAAGGCCAGAGCCACCTGGTAAGTAAGTTTTAGGATTTAGGATTTCCCAATTACAGGTACTACAAACAATCATTATTACCACCACTACTCCTTTGACTATATTTTCAATCCTTTGAGACATTTTCTCTTCTTCCGACTCTACTACCGCTCTCTGTCAAGGTTCTGATGGAACTAAAGTTTGGATTATGATAGCTACATGTCTGGACTCTTATGTCTGGTCTCCAATGTTTATCTACTCTTTACTTTTCTCTGCTAATTGTTTTATTTGCCTTCGCTTTCCACATGATTGCGGTTTTATGGGCTCACTCATCTCGTAACGGGAATCTTTCTAGTGGTTCTGATAGATATGTGGGTGCGGACATTGGGCAAAAGTCGAGAACCTCTTTAATTACCAGGCTCCAAGTAGGTGGAACGACTTGGGCAAAGAAAGTTTTTGTTAACTAGATAATTTCTTGGGAATCTTGTTTTAGCGATTTGCTAAGATATTTACGAATTAAAGGTTCTTTAAATTGTAAATATTTATGATCAGGTTAATGACCGCTAAGATTACTGCCATCTCTGAAGTTTTCGATTACGGCAATGCATGGAGATCTACTTCCAAGTAGATTTTTCTTTATTTTTTTGCTGAGTGATGTCATTTGGTTCATTCCCTTGATACTTTATAACTATGATCATAAATTAAGAGGTTAGATATCATAAAAACAGATGCAACTGTTTGCAGAATGCGCTTACTTAAGAAAGCGCATGACAGATATTACAGTTAGTCTGTTCGGAGAAATTACAGCCTGCAGAATGCAGTTTTCTCAGTTCTTGGTGAGTTACTTAGAAAATCCTTTACTATCCTTCTTTAATCCTAAACCTTTAATAGTGCCTCCTCGTGGTTATATCTTCCGCGGGAGTTTTAGTTCTCGGCGAAATAACCTGCAATGTTTGCCAATCAAATAATGTCAAGTGCCTGAATGAGACCCACTTCAGCTTGTGCATGGCAGGTGTTGCTCCGGATCAGGTGATGCAGTGCCCAGATAATGAGGTTTGCACCAGCCTCCTGAAGTTCTGCATGCCCAGAGGTGTGATAGCACCTTCCTGCATTTCGGAGGCTGATGTAACTTGCCCCTCCTGCGATGGATCATCCTTGTTCGTCTGCACCAGCCGCACTACCTTCCAAATGTGCAATGGAAATCAACTTACTAGCCAAGTTACAAGGTGTAAGGAGAATACTTACTGTTCTATAGGTCTGAATGAGTTCTGTGTGGATCGATGTGCAATTTTAAGGTCTAACACAGGATTTCAGTGCGACAGGGAGACGCCTTTGGAGGGATAAAGTGAATTTTAAGTAATAAAAATGTCTTCAAAATTTATTTACATTTTCTATTTTGTTTATTTAATTAAAAATAAAAGTTATGTATAATATTTATTTATGATAAATTAGTGCAACCAGCATTGGCTGGCTTAACAGTGCCGCAGCTGAAATTATCAGCATCGAAGTAAGGCTTCGCAGTGGTGCAGTTATAGAGTATTCCCGTCCAGCTTCCACTTCTCAGCACGCAGTAGACATAGCTACAAAATTCAATAAGTATTAGGATGCCTATAAATGGTGTCTGGTACTTACTTTGTGCAATCGGTATCACTAGGTATGGGATAGCGACCCGTTGAGTTGATTCCCTGGCAATAGACAACCTCATTGAAAACTGGAGTGGTGGATGTGCCTTCTGTGGTGCTGTCGCTGGTGGTGATTTCCGTAGTGCTATCCGAGGAAGTCTCAGTAGAAGTCACAGTGGAACTATCAGAAGTAGTTCCTGTGGAAGACTCAGTGGTTATTGTGGAAGACTCAGTGGTTATTGTGGACTCAGTGGTTATTGTGGAAGACTCAGTGGTTATTGTGGATATGGCATCCGTTGCTGAGCTTGTAGTTATAGTAGAAGAATCAGTGCTCGAATCCAAGGTCGTTCCTGTTGATGCAGTGGAAGATGTGGTACTATCATCTTCGTCAGTTGCCGCTGCCCTATCGCAGATATCCGATTCGGTGATATCGCAGCGGGAGACACAGGGAGTTCCGCTGGCAGCTCCCGTAACACTGCATTCATAATCCTCGGCACAGGTAACGGAACTGTCGGAAACTACTCCGTTGTTGCAGACACTAAAGGTGGTCCGTGAAGTACAGGCAAAGGTATCGGTATCGGAGCAAATTCCACACTTAGAGACATCACCACAGGCACGTTGAGTGTCCGTGCTGTTTGCCAAGCAAATGATACCGTAGACCGTGCAAATGGGTCTGGCATCTGGGCAGGTGTAGTTGATAGTCTCATCGGCGACACCTAGAAAGGGCTCTTTAATAAGGAGATCTTTTGGGACAACTTATCACAGCTTACCATCGAAACATAACTGGAATTCCGATTCCCCAATGCAGGTGTGTGCGTCGTAGCATGTGCCACATAAGGCATACACGGCTGCCGGAGCTAACAGGGCCACCAAGATCAAAGTGAACGCTTTCATTGTGGGTTTGCGATTAAATCTCAGAAGGAGCAACCGCCCAGCTTTATAAACCCCGAAGCTAGAGTCATATCTTTATGGTAATCTCGGGCCCATAACCTTTATCTTTCAATGTCGAGCGATGCCATAAAGGTGCTCTTCCTAGTAAAGTAATCTTCGAGTAGCACGGGAGCGCAAATAGTATCGTAAATTCTTAGATCTTTAGCATACCTAATCCTCTGTATACATAGTTGAAGCTATCTGTAAAACAGTTCTTATAAAAACCCAGTACTTGTGGGTTCTTTCAGTTATTCCGTTAACGAGAGTCAAAAACATCAAAATGCATAGCAACCAGATCCTGAAAAGTCTGGTAAGATGATGTGGAATTTGTCCAGGGAAATGTTATTATAATTACTCCCATCCACAGTTCCTCTTTGTGGCCATAAGCTCCATGGCAGTTGCAGTCTTTGGAATATGCAACAGCTGCCAGACCAACAACGTTGCCTGCCTGAATGGAACTCACTACAGATTCTGCTCGGACAGTGTGGCAGCCGACCAAGTCGTTCAGTGTCCGGATGGTAAGGTCTGCACCGACCTGGCTGTCATCTGTATCGATGAGGGTGTGACTGATGCCTCCTGCTCGGCCACTGCAGCAGATGGATCCTGCCCCACTTGCGATGGTACTAACACATTCGTCTGCACCAGCCGCACTACCTTCCAGATGTGCAATGGCAATGAGCTGACCAGTCAGGTCACCAAGTGCAAGGACAACAAGATCTGCTCTATTCAGTCGGGAAAATACTGCGTGGATCTCTGTGAAGCGGGTGATTCCATTGAATGCGACAGGGAGTCGCCACTATAGATTTATATAGATTTTTAATCAATTTTAAACTTTAAATAAATGCCTTTTTACCATATTTAAAACGGTTTTAACCTATTATTATTTTTTGCAACATAATAAATTAATTTCTAGGGAAAATGCTGGTCATTGTTGTAGAGGAAGACATCTGATAATGTCTTTATCGCAGTCTCAGTCTTATCTGCAAACTCTATGTACATCCTTAGTTAAATGGACTGACTCATGGAATCATGAAATTTGATCATAATCATAATCTTTAATGGTTTTCACAAGAAAATAATGGCAATAAAATCTAAGCCTAAAGGAACTTTTGAAGTCCCTTTTTAGCGACCTTCCTACTTATGTTACAACCTTAACCTGATTTATTTGCAAATACAAAATACCCAAAAAACTCAGAAATAGTTCTTAAGAATTCCAGCCATAAATCACTTTTTACCACCCTTCATCTAAGAGCTTATCGTTGTTTTGGCCATCTCAGCTTGTCAGGGACAAAAGCATCGCAAATTCTATTGCGAAGGTCAGTTCTTTCCACACGAAAATAAAATAAAATCCAATGGTGAGTCAGCACCAGTACCTGCATTTATTTCGGAATATACCTTAATTGAATTAAGCAAGTTAATTGACATTGACCCAATTTGCCTTTTACTAGCTGCGTAATCAAATTAGACATATGAAGCAATGACGTCAAATTGTTGTTAAATCGTTATATACTATAACATTTGATGGTGATGATGGCTGCGATGCCGTAAACAAATTGTTCGGCACTTTCATGCTCCGATTTTCGGCCTATGGAGTGTTGCTCCACATTTAATGGGCCCCCAAAGGTGTGGAAAACAAATTCGCAACAGGAAATAAACAGTGGAAAGCGAGAGAGTACAGAGATGGGACCAACTTCCATCCAAAAATCTAACCAAAAGGCCCCCCGGCATTTCGCTGATTGTGGCGCATCTAATTGTTGCGACGGTTGCGTTTTGTTATTGTAATTAATATTCAGCTAAACTCACAGTTGGGTTTTACTAAAACTAAAAAGCGAAAAGCGTTGAACAAATTGCGGTCATTAAACTTTTTGCCGCGCCGAGTGAAATAAATTGTCGCCCCCGCCTGGGCTGCCTTTCATAGCAAAGTCACAAATCAACGCGAGCGGATCTGCCACCGAACTACCGATCTTCCAGTGGATTACCAAACATGTTGCATCTGCAACTGTCTCTGCTTGCCTGCCTTTTGGTCCTGGCCAGCTGTAAAGTGCACAAGCAAACCCAGACTAATAGTTGGAGGGATATGCTCTTCGGCAGCAAGTGGCTGACTCCTGCTCCGCGTTGGCGTGAATCCAAATGTGGGTCTTCAAGCTTTAAAAGACAGTGCTTACCAGAAAAAAAAAGAGAAAATGTAATTTAATCTTGTGTAATACCCACCAGTTTTGCCCATCTTTGCCCTGGTCCCCATTGGTCCTGGCAGCTGTTCAGCGCCCTCGGGCGAACAGGGAAATTGCATTCCCAGCAAGGATTGTGTGCTGAGGAATGGCATTCCAGCTGGTCCTTGTGGCGGTGGCTATGGCGTTTGCTGCATCTGTGAGTGTTACACCTAAAAGGGAAAATGTTTTTCCTAATCCTTTCGTTCAGTTCTTCAGACCTGCGGCGGTATTATACGCGAGAACTCGACATACTTTGTGAATCCCAATCATCCGGATGTCTACGATGGCACCGGAAGTTGCCAGGTTACGGTGCAGAAACTTCATCCGGATATATGTCAACTGCGCTTGGATTTGGATATGTTTTCCATAGCTCCTCCGGAAGCAGCCAATCATCTGTGCAATCAAGATCAGCTTCTAATATCGGGCGGTAGTCCCACACCCACTATTTGTGGCAGTTCAACGGGAGATCATAGTGAGTTTACTTAATGGGTTTAAACTAGATTCCACTTAAAGTATGTTTAATACGAAGAAACACTATCACAGTGTAAACATAACCGTCTGACTGCTCAATGCCAACCTTGTGTTTTCGCAGTGTACATTGACGCCGGTCTTGGCCAGAGCAACCCGATTGTTTTATCGGTGATCACCAGCGGTAGTTTTCCGCGTCTGTGGCGCATCCGCGTCACTCAAATCCATTGTGGCAGCATCAGTCGAGCAGATCAAGGATGCTTGCAGTACTACACGGCAATTAGTGGTCGTGTTCGCAGCTTTAACTATAACACAGTGGCTGGTAGGCAACTCTCCAATCAGGACTACAGCATCTGCATCAGGAGTGAACGTAACTTCTGCGGAATTCAGTACAATGCATGTCCGGATCTGGAGAACAACAGATCGAGGGCATTTACCCTGACTGGAAACTCCAACAATCCGGTGCCCACAATGGTGGGTGGTGGTGGTTCTATGCCACCCAATGCCAATGGTTGTGTTAGTGACTGGCTTTTGATTGGCTGCATCAGGTCAGCGGATAGAATCCCTCCTCTGCCAGGATGTGAGGATCGCGTGTGCGGTGGTACTTTTAGTGCGGAGGCCGGAATGCTGGCCAAAACAGTGCAATGTAAGTGCAAGTTAATCTTAGCTTTTAATTTAAATCCTTTGACATCTTTTGATACCCCAACAGCCAGCGTTCGTCCATTCCGGTTGTATTTCCACACGGACGGAGTAGAGGCGCCCAATGATATTGACAACAGGGGATTTTGCCTTGACTACGTGCAGCAGCCATGTACAAATGGCTTTTAGCTGTCAACCCAAAAGTATGCAATACTCTTTACACACAAGATATGATCCAAGCGATTAAAGTCGCTAGGAAAGTGTTATTGGCGCTGTTAAAATCGCAGGCAAAGCGTTAATATCTTTTCGTGTGTAATAAATATGTTTTATTTATTGATTTTCGTAATTAAGTTAGACATAACTATAAATTTAAGTTAATTTAGAAAGCACAAATCGTCTCGAATTTTGGTACAAATTGAATGACGCGGTTCAGGATATTGAAAATTTGTTCCGATCAAAATTCTAACATTAAAATCGTTTTTCCAACTACTAATACAGGTTTATTGAATTACGTTTAATTAATAATACTTAGCTGAAGCAAAAACAAAAAATTAAATAACAGAAAAACACGATGAAAAACGCTTTTGTTTAAGGACATTTTCGTTGCAGTTGTTGTTGTTGGTGATCTTTTTGCTGCCTTGGCATTTTAGCCATAAAATACAAATTAAAAAAATAAAAATAAAAACAAGTACTAATGTTGCGCACGTTGTCGTTATAAAACGGGGTTTTCTGGGTTCGCTTGCTCGCCTGAGATCGCCAATTTCAGTCTGTGCGCGTAGTGCCCGACTTGTGACGTCACTGGGGATGGGTTTATCTCGGATGTGATGCGGGTATCTACAATAGTTATATATCCTAATCCTAATAGGTTTGTATTAAGGCAGCCACGTGCTGTTTCTCCTCTTCGGTCAGACCGTTTTTCAGCGTGCGACGTACTGTAAGACATGAATTGGAAATATTAGTAAATAAATTTAAAAGAAAATAAAGTAAAGTATTTAGTTAAGCGAAGGTTGTTCAGGCAATGTTAGAACTAAAGGCCATGCTACTTAGTAGTCACATGCAAATGCAGTTTATATTTACAAATTAATAAAAAGGAGTTTTTCCCATGCAAAAAAAACTCGGAAAGTTCAAAAACAAAGCTGAACTCAAGTTTCAGCCAAAGGATTTTTAACAACGAAATCGTAAGGAAAAAAATAGGTGTAAAAAAACTGAACAGAATTCACTAACCAAAAAAGGTAAAACCTAAAAAACAGTTGGCTGTTCTTTTGGTAACGGTAACGGTTACGGATTCGGTTAACAGTAACGGTTAACGGTTCTACGGCGACGGTGCTCTTTCAACTGTGAATCCTTCGCGCGTGCGGCTGCGCTTCACTTCGATAGTCAATATTTCAGATTTGTTGGGTTTTGGTTTTTATTTATATATATTTTTTGTTTATTGGTTTGTTGGATTGGTGCGTTAATGGTAAAAGAACGAAATGGAAATAAAATTAAAACCCAATATAGGCAACAGATTCGTAAGCTGGCAAAACTAAGGGGACAAAAAAGCTGCGAAATCGGGAGTATCTTTGTAAATTAGAGGGACAAAAACTGCTGGGATTTGTGTAAATTTGGAATTTTGTGTTTGGGAAATAAATATTTTTGTGAAATTTATAAAGTTTCTCTTTGGAATTTTCAGTCGGGTGGTGGTGTGTGTGTCCAGCTAGAGGTTATAGACATAGCGCGCTGTGTGTGATTCGAAAAGATATAGACCAACACCTTTTCATTAAGTCGTATTCTCACTGTCAGAGTTTGGGACGTGGATCTTGTTTGCTATGCCATGTGGAAGCCATCAACTTACATGATTTGCGGTCCGCATGTCGCGTTCGTTTCCGCTCCCTGGGCGTTGTCCGGGTTCCTGGGGCCTTGGTGGCGGTCTTGACCAGAGATTCCAATATCTCATCGTCACCGTCGGTGAACTGCTCCTCACTATGCCGGGCAATGGGTGAACGCAGCTGTTCCGCTCGTCGTCTTCGCCAGGTGAGAGTGCCATCGGCCTGGTCAGCACTCGATGTGTCTAGAAGTTTTCTGGAACAAAAATTTAATTAGTCTGAAGGTCTTTTAGGAAGTATTGCCCCTAAATGGTTTAATTGCCTATCAAAACAGCCTATCAGCATGATATTTAAAGTCTACAGGTTAAAGAACTATGGAACCCTTTATAGCCCTGATAATATATTAAGCGATAAATTCTTATCTCATGATTATAAATCACTTTTTAAAAGTTCATCGAATAATATTCAGGTTAATTCAATACTGATAAGCTTTCCTTGTAGTTTGATTTATCGTTTCACATTCTCAACTCATCAAAGTGATGTACTTAATGTCATGTTACCATTAGTTTTTGATAAGAATCTATAACATAATCTAGGCTACTCCATACCCTAAACCCCAAACTCACTTCAACTCATCATCGGCCACGTCATCTTTGGTCTTGAACTTGGCCATGTCTATGATCAGCTTTCCTCGAGTCTTGTTCCGCTCGCGGTGATTGGCCTTCTTCTCCAGCTGCTGCTGCACACGTTCCCGGGTGGTTCGGTACTCCAAGGCGAATTCAGAGAGTGTCCGACTGAATTCGTTGGGTCGCGACTCCGCCACACTGTGCTGCGGCATTCCCAGCCACAAAAGGAACTTTCGATAACGATTCATTACCCGCCGATGGACGATTTGCAGGATTATGATACGCTCGGCACAATCGGCCAGGAAATCCACCAGTTTCTGCTTTAACGGTGGCGGGCAGTCGTGTTTGGCAATTAGTTTCAGGCGATCCCAGCAGGCCTTACATTCCGCCTCTAGCTGATTCAGATTGTGAGCCAAATCTGTGAAATCCGCTTTGGAGGCACGGGTTATGGGTCCAATCTCTGAGTAGAGATCACTGGTATCACTGCTAGATTCCATAACCATGTGGCAGAGATGGTGCAGCAGCGAGTGCTTATGCACTGTGTCCTTCACTTCCGGAACCTTGGCCAGATACTCGATCTGGAATCCCTTGACAGGAGCTCCGTTCAGGAAAATGCCCACGGACAGCAGGGTGGAGAGGATGCTGCGGAAGGTGCGATTCTGACGCAGGATCTCAATGCCTTGCTTGAGATCCATCAGGGGTTCCGCAATCTCTTTCTGTAAGTTGAAAGGGGAATGGTTTTAGATTTATTTATTACGATTAAGCTCGCCTAGGAACTTACTTCACTGTTGTCGAAGTCCAAACGGAAGGCCCACAGCTTCAGGCGGGCTTCCAACTCTGAAATGGATGCCAGGGTTAGCAGGAACTGCTCAGCACTGCCCAGGGGTAGCTCTGGATTGGATAACTGGGCCTCCTGGATCTTGCCACGCTCCTCGTCGGTTGGCAGCATATTGAGCAGCTTGTCAATGCCCTCCCGCGTGACCACAGTGGCATCCATCTTGAGGATGGCCGTCTTAATAGCCCTCGGAGGTGGCAGCTTGGTGATTGCAATATTGATGGCATTGGAGCGCTTGTGGTCGAGCACGATGATCTCTTTGCTCTTATTCAACTCTTGTTGTTTCTGCAATATCAGCGAAATATAGTTAATACCCTTCGATCAGGCTGAGATCGGTCAGAGATGAGAAAACACAGTGTGGTGCAAAAAGAAAACGAGAGTGTAGAGTGCAAAAGTGCGGAGTTTTGGAGGAGGAGTTTCTGTGCTGTTCTGTACTGTTAGCTACTAGATCGTTTCTTCGAGTGTACGTGGATGTGAGAGAGTGTATAAGAAATAGTGATATTAACCAACACCAAAACACAAAACATAATGGGCAACAGATCGTGAGTTAAAGTGATTAAACTATATAAGTTTACAGATAGATAGATTGAGAGACAAAAAGACAAACAGATTTAAAAACGTTTTGATTGGCACTCACCTCCTAGAGACATTGGAAAACGTTTTGAATATTTTGAGAATTATTTGCATTTTGATATTGAGTTTAGCACAACATTTATGTAGATTTATCCGCAAACAGACCGTTCGACATTTAGGTATTAAGAATTATACAAGATATCCGTAAATAGAGGGGAAAGAGAATACAAAAATCATTCGCATTTTGTTAACGCAACATACACTTATAGAAGAGCCTATGACTAAATTTAATCACACTTATCGTAGATTCGTTCGATTTCGAGAACCTTTGACCAATTGGGGGTTATATAGGGGTACAGTGTTACCAACTAGCCAATACGAACCTTGGTCATCAAGTCTTTGGCCCGAGACTCAAAGAGATGTTCGAGCTTCTGGGTATCCACGTTGGCATCGGGCAACTCATCCCAAATGGTCTTGCCCACCACCTGCGGTATCATGTCTTCGCGAACTTCCTTCCAGAAGAGCTTGACCTGGGAATGGATTAGGTAATGTTAAATCTAATATATATCTATATAATCTGCCCCAACCTACCGTCTTCTTATTCTTTTTGATGGTGTTATTGCCGTTGACCAGCTCCCCATTGATAGATCCATTCAGCGAGTTAACACTGTTTGTGAGGCTTCCACCATATCCAAACATAGGAGGAGGTGCCAGACTGGGAGGCATCATGGGTGGTGGGGCAATGGCTCCTCCCAGTGGAGGGGGAGGTGGAGGAATACCAGCTCCCAGACTTCGAGGAGCCAGCACATCTTTCTCGTCATCATCCCGCAGATCCGTAAAGTCCAGATCGCAGAGATTTAAGGGCCTTGTCATATTTCTAACCAGTTCCTCCCAGTGAAGTTCGTTTTCCGACTTCTTGGGCTCAGACTTCTTTATATCCTGATCCACACTAGAAGATCTGAGGGTTATAGAAAATATACAATCATATTATAGCTTTTATCTTTCTTTCTTTCTTTCTCCCTATAAAGTCTGGTATCAAGGTAACGTGTAAGGGGGGCCATAAATGACTAGTTGGACCATATCTTTGACATAAACGATAGGAAATCAGAAATCAAGCGACAAGGGGTGGGGCAACTACTTTCTAGAGATCCGAGAAAGCAAATGACGAACGATGATAAGATTATGATTTTTTGGGGCCTGGACAGACTGGCCGAAAAGCTGAACTCTTACGAAACTCCCACGTAAATCTAATCTACGAATTTGCACAATGGACTCTCCTTGGGCATTATGGGCATTGCATTGGTAACTGTTATCGATTTCCATATACTGATAAGCCTTGTTAACTATAATTCACCGATTTCCGGGCGGTATAAAGGCGGTGCACTAAGAGGGAAAAATCACATTTGTCAAGCATAACTCAAGCAACATGGCCGATGTAAGTTAATAGATTCTGACCAACTGGATACGTATAACCTTTCTAACCCACTACCCATGTGATCTACAGTTCAACGCTATCCTGGAGAAGACCAAGGCCTTCAGCAAGAAGCCCCCAACGGAGGTGTACCTGGAGTTCTACGGTCTGTACAAGCAGATCCATGAGGGCGACATCAACATCGAGAAGCCCGCCGATGCCGAGGGTGCTGCCAAGTACGACGCCTGGCTGAGCCGCAAGGGAATCACCGTCGATGCCGCCAAGGCTGCCTACATTGCTCTGTACGAGAAGTACGACCCCATCTACGGATAAACTATATACGGTTTATGACCCTCTCTGGCACCCCAATAAATCTTGACCACCTGTGAACAAAAATGATTGTCTATTTGAAAGACAGTTGGTGGTAGTTTAAGTTCTGTCTTAGAGTTATAGACTTGAGGCCCTGGCACACTTGCTATCAGATTACCACCAAGCATGACACTGCTAATCACTGCTGGCTTAACCCGATTTCTTATCATTAACTGGTGGCGCCATATATTCTCGTAAATCTTAGCCATAAACAATGTAAAGACTGCAGGAGCCTATATATTTTACTTCTAATCTAGTTAAGGGGGCTTCTGAGTGGAAAGCTTGAAAACTATTGAGAGTCAATGGCAATCTCATATTAGGGAACTTTTAGAAAAGGTTCTTGAACTAACTTTTCGATTGATTGTTTGATTAGCAAAAGGTTTCTCACTTCTAATTATTTCTATATATATAAAATATCAAAAAAATTCTGAAAACTCACCTCGATATCTCCCCTTTGCTCTTGCTCTTGGCCAGACCCTCTTTGGCTTTCGAAATGAGACCGGACATGTCGCCGACGAGAGCTCGATTCGCCGGATCCTGGGTCGGGCTCATGGGCAGATTGCTTAGTTTCTGGGTGAGATCCTTGACAGTGTGGTCCCTCTTCAGCTGCAGCAGAAGCTGCTTGTCCTCGCTTTCCAAATCTGTGATGTATAACAATCATAAAGTTAAACCCATTCATCAAATCTCAGCCCTCGAAAGTATGCAGCGGCAGATGCGCAATGCAATGTGAATGTATTGGCGGCGCTTGCGAGTATGCAACACACAGGTGAAAGACAAGTGAATGTGAGAAGGGGTTAGGGGCAAGACCCACCTGAAGGATCCACAGGATGCGGCAGCAGCTCTGGGTTAGTACTGGTTAGGGTTCGAGCTGGCGGCGGGCTGTTGTAGATGGGGACATGCCACCAGCCAGGAGGCGGTGGTGGCGGCGGTGGCGGTGGAGGAGGTGGTGGTGGTGGATTGGCTGCAACGGGTTTCCTAACCGGACTCAATGGCTCCGGTTCCGGCAAGACTTCACATTTAACCGGTGTGGAACTCAGGGGAGCAGGCGTAAAATCAAACCCGGAGGCATTCAGCGTTTTCTTGGGACTCAAAAGGTCTTCCGGCGTGGTCTGAATCTGATTGGGCTGATGGATCTGATGCTTCGGCGACTGACTATAGTAGTTATTCAGCCGATTGGCTTCGTTCTCGTACTTCTTATAGGCACTATCGGTTTGCTGGATATTCTTCATAATACCACTGATCACAGTTGAGTTTCGTTCCCGGAATAGGTTCTTCTTCGTGAGGAACTCGCTTTGATTATTATTGCTCGCCTTGTCGAAGCTGTTGTTTATGATGGAAATGCTGTGGCTTCCGGTGAGCAATTGCTTGCTGGGACTCATCAGTAAGAGGCTATTGTTCGGCGTGTCATTGCAGCTCAGGTTGCTCATATTGTTGTTACTTATGCTGGTGATACCGCTGATGTTGTTGCACGGCGGCACCACCTCATGTTGCAGTGATTCAGGTGGACTGTCGCCGGTTTGGATGGTGGCGGGTATGGCGGTTACTATTTGGCCTGTTTTTTGGCATGGATGGTTTTGTTTTTGTTTTTTGGTTGTGGTTAGCATGATCAGCGGGTGAACAGCGGGACAATAATACACACAGTGATTAGCGTTTCGGTGGGAGAGAGAATCACAAGTTAGTTAGTCGCTCAAGTTAAAAGCAGCTTCTAATTAATTTTAGATTTTAATTTCAAAGCAAGAACTTACCCAAACCTTCTCGCTGCTCGAGAGCAGCAAAGATTCCATTGGCCGCCGCTTCCTGTTGCTCCTTGAGGAAACTCTTGTGCCTCTCCGCCCGCTCTCGTCTTCTTCGAAGTCCTGGCGTTACACCAGCTCCATCGCGAGCTGAAGGGGATTACCAAGTTAGGATATAAATATATACATTATTCATCTAATATTACGTTTCTTTTCATTGAAGAGTCCTCCGCTAAACTCCGTTGAATTTGTAGACCCAGAACTATCCTCATCTACAGTAGCTTGGGTGGGTGTCATTCGAAGGACAGTGGTGGGCAGGACCTTTGTGATGGGGGCAGGGCTGTTGTCAGTGCTGTGTCGACGTGACTTACGTCTTTCGGTGGTGTTTGTTCCCGGACGGTAACGCTGCGTTTTACGCATTGAATTCTGCGGCAAACGCTGTCCATCCGACTCACCATCCTCAAATCTGAATAAGAAAATATTTAAGCAATCTCTTCTCAAAAATTAAGCCCAAAACTCACTTCAACACAGCCTCGTATAGTTGCAACTGATCGAGAAGATCTAAATCAGTGCCTGGCTTGGACATATATCGCTGGATCACAGTCTCCATGCCCTGCTGCTCCAGAAGATCGCTCTCGTCATAGAAACTATCCTGATCATTCAGTCCAGCAAGGGTTTTGTTAATCAGCGAAGTGGCATAGATGACCAACTCGGCATCAGCATTATCATAGTCCTTAAGCAGTCTAAAAAAATATAAGAAACATTAATTTTTGACCATCTCTAACAAAGTACCAATTTTATGAAGGCACCCTAAAAGTAGACTTCAGTTGACCTACCTCATTATATTCGACCAGGGCAGAGTGCCCTGGGAAGCGTCCACCGCGTGAATGGCATTGACCAGTACATAGCAGTTGGACTCGGCGTACTCCACGAAGACCAGCAACAACTTGAGGGCGGTCTTCACCACGGATCGGTAATTGGAGGCAATCAGTGAGTACAGCCACTGCATCGTCGGCTCATGCTTCATCACGCCGTTCATACCGTCCACATAGAGCATGACCTACCGCCGCATCCAATGACATAATTAGTTAAGGTTCCCATAGTTTTTCCAATACTCCAACTCACCTGACCAAGGGCTCGCAGAATGTAATTCTGATAGTTTTGATCCGCACAATTGCCCACGCGCACCAGGCAATTGAGGCCGCCGAGGGCCACGAAGGCGTGCACCAGATCCTTATCCTCCTGGAACACCTGCTTCAGCGAGAACAGCGCACGCCTCAGGTCACTGCCCTCCGAGGAAAGAAGTTTCTCTGTAAGTTCAAAGTCAGTCAGTGAATTACACGGGGCGTATGCGCAATGAGCTTTTCATTTTTCTTACCAATTATAGCATGGACGCGCACATTTAACTGCGTTCGCACCACCAGTGAGTTCTTGCGGCTGTGGATTGAAAATCGAAAGTCATATATTATTATGCTAGCATTGTAAGATATCTTGTTATTATGCGCTGGCAGTCCGATTTCAACCTGTCTTATGATTTTGGTCTTACCAAGAACAACTTAACTACCTAATAGTACTGTTTCTCACTTAGTCGTAAAAGGTTTTTCTCACTCTTAGCATTTCACTGAAATAGAAGTTCATAAACGCCAAGCTATGAACCACTTTTCACCATGTGAAGTGCCAAAACACAAAGATTAAGGCACAATGGGGAGCTGGCACCTCTGGCTCCGACTCCTGGCCATGTCCAAGTCCAGTTCATTGACCAGTTAAGAACATTGATTACCCGCTGGTGCTTGCCTCGCTTCACCCCGATGCCAGCTGGTCATAATAAAAGTAATAACAAACGACGCAGATAATTGAAAATGGACTATGGGGCGGCAGGCAGTCCGACACCGGGCTCATGGCTCACACTCATATAGATATAGATATATATTCAGTTTAGACAAAGGTGAGTGTCTGAGCCGCAAATGTCCAAGACACACCTGTGTTGGTAACGTGTAGCCGTGCCTCTACCCTTCTGCAGATTGACGGGCACCTTCTGCGGAATTTTGATGCGAATTGAAGCGCATGATTTGCATGCGAGCTCGCGATGCCATGACTAATGCGATAAGCATGATTAGTGGCCATCGGACTTGAGCCAGGTTCCCTATTCTGGCCATGGCCAGAAGGAAAAGTCACTCTGCCATAGTGCCTTTGGCGCCACACCACTCGTAAATAGAGTGTGTGGGGACGAGTTTGCGCCGCAAAGTGGCGGCAATTTGCGCAGACGCGGCGACATTTACGTTATAATTTCAAAGACTCCAGAGATACGGCTTAGATCTCTGCTCCGCCCCATTGATGACTGATGATCATGCGGTGGACGACGGTGTAGAAGTGAAAGTCAGAAATAGACCAGAAATCCATCCATTCCAATCTCGACCAGGGTTAAGCAACTCCAGAACATTGACTTTGAACCTGGTAACTGCCCCCCAGTACATGGTTATGTCCATCTTTCTTGCCAACATCTTCTTCCTAGTCGACTGCTGCTCTCTTACTTTGACACTTGTGCCCCGTCGCGTACATCATTTTTCTTTGTGCCACAAGTTTTTGTAAGGTTTGTGGAGCTGCTTTAGCGCCTGCCTATGCCATGACATCACGTTCCCCAGACTAGCCGTGAAATAAATAAAGAAAAACTAAGAAGTGAAGAGAGGAGAACTCGAAGAGACTAAGGGATACCTTAAAGAGGTTTTAACCTGCTACAGAACACTTCTAAAGCTATTAATCATAAATATATGTCTAAGATCTTTATTCAACAGCAAACCTTATGCGCGAATCATTCGAATCCTTTAAGTTTAAGCTGATTAAAACTATATGCCCTGAGAGTTTGCCACTGTTTTAACTTCATTATCCCTGAGTACATAACAACCCATCCTTTTAAGGGGTATTTAGATGTACTTATGCATAAGTAACATGCATGCCAGTTATGAGAAAAGAGCACAAAAAATGTAAATATAACAACTGCAGAGCTACGACAACGACGACTCAAAAGTGACGTGGCAAGCGTTTTTTGTGCTTCATTTTTCTGCGACTGTGCGCGGATTAAATGCAAATTAACTGCAGACTGCAGCGGCAACAAGTTGCACGTAGCAATGTCGTGGCATGCAAATGTCTTTTGAAAAGCCAAAACCCGGTGAGTGCCGGCCAGAGCGACAGAATGGCAGAGTGGCAGGCGGCTGAGCAGGTAACTTAGCCAGGTAGGCAGATAGCCAACTCCGTTTCCTGTGCCACAGATAGCGACAGTTTTTTTTTTTTTATGGCCCGGCCAAATAACTTTATTAGCGGAGCTGAGATGGCGAATCCAATGTGGCTGCAGACCGCCATGGCGTATGTGTAATATGTTGCATTTCGGTGAAAGGCTGACAGAGCCACCCACGATCGGTTGCCCCAATAACCCAGAGGGGATCGACTGGTTCGGAGTTTTTTTTCCTGATTGCTGTGGTTAACAAGAGATTACAAGGAGTGGTTAGCTTAAGCACATTTAAGCTTATTTTTTGTATTTAATGATATTAAACTTCTTTTCTTTCAAAAAGACTCTTAAAGAGTCTCCTGAAATGGCTGTAAACTGAAGCTAATGTGGCAACAACGGTCCCGAAAATAGGAAAATGGGTTCAAGGTAAGCAACATCAGCAGCACCAGCAGGAACAGCAACTGCAGCAACCATAGTTGCAAAAGTGAAATCCCCTGACAAATGTCTGCGAGTGGGTGAAGTGCACCAGGTGTGCCCCATGTGGGCTAACAATTCTTTTTTCTGTCCAATCTCATTAGCCGGCATTTTGGGTCAGGTGTTGGCGTTGGCTGCTCCCCGCCAAAATCGTTATCTTCATTATCCACACTCACCTCACGTTGAGTCCCTCGATTTCCTCGGTCTGCTCGGCCAGAGATGACTCCAGATCCAGGTAGGCTCCATAGTCGCCATCCTTGTACACCTGAATGGCTGCATCATCGATCTGCAAGAAAAGGAGAAGCTTAGTTTCGCTGGCAATTATAATTAAAGTCTGGCTAAAAGTAAATGGCAGCGCCGATCTCGCCACTACCGCACTACGCAGTAAAAGTTGTTTATGGTCTCGACTCAAGCAAAAGAGAAAGAAGCTGATGGAGATTGAGATGGCGATGGCGATGGCTATGAAGTTTGAGTTTTGGCTTGCAGTTGGAGAGGTTGATGTGCTGCTGCAGCGTAGAACGTTTTGTGACACTCAAAGAAATGAGGGAAAATGCATTTTTAAGACACTTTTAGGCCTTGACCTATTAAGATCACTTTACTTTATTGTCAACCAATATTTGTAGGAATATAATGACATTTTCCTGATATAAAGACAGACTTGTGTCATGGACAGCATTAACAGAGTATAAAGTAGAATATCTGACAATCACTTTTCAAAATTTAATAACAAATTGAAAGAAATATTTTCTTCCTGTGTCCAATGACGGACACTGCATTGAAAGTCCGCAGACGATTTCGTTTAGGCGCACATTGAGGCCGCCAGTTGATTGCTGGCCAAGACCAAGATGACGCGTCGTCGCCGGCTGGTCACCTACTTTTCTCTGCTTTCGGTTTTTAGTTTTCAGATTTCAGACTTCAGTTTTCCGTTTTCCAGCCACTCGCTGCTGATTGATCAAGCTCCTGCTGCGTGCCTGTGCACAAATGCGCTGATTGACGGCAGTCGCGGCCGATGTTTTATTGCCGCATTGAAAGTAATTATTTCTGCATTTACAGAACAATTACCGAGGCAACATGGAATTATCTGTGTCGACGACGTTTGCTTAATGTGTGAAAAAAATGTAAACAACAGAAATACTGTCCGTCATCCGGGTGGAAGATTACACATACGCCCCTTTGAACACGCCCCGGCATTAGCAGACAAAAGCAACTTAGAGTTTTGGGTTGGGTTTTTGTGCCTTTTGTCTGGCTTCTGGCTGAGACACACCCTCTATCCCTGTCTTTGCATGTCCTTAGGGGTTTCCTTCCAACAAAGAACATTCGCCAAGTTAAAGTCATTGACTTTTCTAGGAACTATTAAGTAACTTTTCTATAAACACTTCAACTACATCATCGTTCTAGTGATTAATCTTTTACTGCATTTTATTTGATAATAAAGCTGAATGACCAGAAACCCAATTCAAGATTTCCCAGGTAAATGACTCGCCGACACTCCACTAAATATACGAAGAGAAATATTTTTTAGAGTGCCATGCTGTCTAGCGAGTCACGTTTTCTTATCAAAAAGAGAGCTCTCGACTGGCCGAGCAAATTTTGCCTTGGGTCAAACTTCCGCATGTTGATTCAGCATTTAGGCAGCATGGAAAAACTTTCTAGACCAAGTTGGTCCGTCATTGTTTACCCAAACTGGAAATTCACATTCAAATTATGTGTCAAATGCGTGCTTTAGTCGGTATTTATAAACGCCTCTTTATATAACCCAACGGGCAATTAAAATCAAACCAAACATTGGCCAAAAACTAACTCCAAAATCCATTCCGGATCGCTTTTTTGATTTATTTATATTTCAGCGAAGTCTCTTCAACTCATATCCATTCATTCATTCACAGCCGTATGCAAATTATATATCGGTGGCTTTTTTGATTATTTTCTTTGAGTGAAGCATGACAAGATTTTTAATCAACATGATTTTGGCCAAACACATAAACGTGGCTATTGACACAGTTAAGGCGGCGCGCGAGCATAAAATTCGACGAGGAGAAAATGTAAAACAAAATCTGGCAGAAAATCAAATATGGTTTGGAAAAAATATAAATATTTTCAGCATATTGACAGGTGGTTAAATATCGTTGAAATAAATAATTAATGGTAATGACAAATTCCAATTTAATTTTCATTATTTTATCACAATTTCTACAACCAAATGAGGGGTAAAATTAAAGAGGAATTTTAATTGGAATCGGCGAAGTTTAATTCATAAAAAGTATACATAATAATGATGGTAATTTATAATCAGTAATGACATCATGACATATTTTTTACTATCTATATCAAAGTTAATAAAAATAACTATTTAAAAACTTGATTAACGTGTCATTTAGCTGATAGGATCAGGGTTCGCTAATAATTTGAAAAATGATAGATTTAACAGAGACCCATAAATGCCTGACCTTGTTTCCGTGCTGATTCAGGTGACTAACACTTTTGCTTTCACATCAATCAAAGTTGATTGACCCTCATCTGACCGCAAAATCTGACGGACAGCTCTGCTAATTGAACTTAAAAACTTCAAAGAGCAGAGAGGACGTCTTGTGCGAATGATTTTTGCAAATAGCCAGAGATGCGTAAGTGTCAACTTGGCTCAAATATTTGGCCAACTTATAAGCAAATTCGTAAAATGGATAATGGAAAATTTCCTGGCTCATTCAAGCGGATAAACTGACCTAAACTAGTTTGATTGCCTTTGAATTTAAACACTGTCCGGTCGGTCGTGCAAATAACATATGTAAGTGACGCATTGCCATCTCAATTACAATTAATTAAATTAGTTTTTTGTTACAATTACTTGCTGAACCGCAAGAGCTTTTCAAATTGATTGCTGTGGCTTTTCACTTCAGCTCTTGTTTCTAATACTTTTATCCGCCTTTGTTTGGTATCGATTGATTGGAAGTTCTCCCCTGTATGCTTATCTAATTCTACAAAAATAGTATAATTTTTTGCTTCACTGCCAAACGCTCCGAAAATAATTGGCAAAAAGAATAATAACATTCGATCTGAAATCAAAACAAAATGAAGTAAGCTGTTGTTAAAAGTGGAATGGTTTATGCTCTGCATTTTATATTAAACATAAGTAAAAACATGTAAAAATTGTACTTTTAAGAATATTTTTAGCAAAGCAATAAAATATTTTTGACAAATATGGAAAATGAATCTTTGGGCACTTTAATCTTCTCATAACATACATATGAACTGTAGGAGGCGGTCACACTAACTTATCTTTACATACTTATTTGTAAGCCCAATCTATTCCTCTCCCTTACTTTTACACTACGATCCTGCTAAAGAACACTATGTGTGTCCTGTTCGCACCATCAGCAAATGTCACCAATACAAGTACAAACTACAATAGGATAGAATAAGATAAAGGAATAAATAACAGTTTGTTTTTTGACCACAGAAGAGAACAGCATTGAGACGCCTTCAAGTCTCACATCATTTTATTACCCGGCAATGATTACTATTTATGTATATTTTTTACTTTGTTGGTTTTCAATCTGTTTGGCTCGGTGGCCTGATGTCTGATGTCATCGAAGACGTCGACTTTGGCTTGGGAGATTAGTGATCGGCGCGGCGAAAATTTATGAATCTATTGTAATGCGCTAAATTTAACAAGTTGCAGGGGAGCGAGCAGAGAGCTAAGTTCTGTTCGCTGACTAATTGGACAAATGGCATTTACAGCTGCCACTGGTAGTGCCAGTAGGCCTACTGGTCCTACGGCTTTCCACATCTGCAACTGCCTGCCACATAAATCTGGCCGCGACGACAACATCCTGAACTGGGGAGGAGGCAGGCCAACGAGAACTTCCTTTTGCGATTTGCTCATTAGAATTTATTGCCGCCGCTTGTCAAGATTTACGTATCCTTGCGGCTCTACTAACTCCTAACTTCCAACTCCCCAACTGGATGACAGATGACAGGCAGGGAATGGGGCTGGCTGTTCGATGCTCCTTAGTGGCTTTTTTGCAAATTAGTCAAAGTCAGGCCCAAACAATGGCAGGCTTAGATAATTGCTGGCTAGCTTACTAGCTGACTGGCTGACTAGCTAGCTGGCCCTGGCTTTCACAATGCACTCCAAGAAGTTGCAGTTCTTCGCTTCAACTTCCTATTAGTTGCCACAGATTGTGCGATAGCAATAAGTTAGCCCAGCCTTGGGCCAACTCTTCCTTCCCCCCCTCCCCCATTCAGTAAAGCCAGAGCAGAGCCAAGCCAGATCCAAGCCAAGCCCTCTCGTCAGATCCAGAGCCTCCGGTTCGAAGAGCTGCATCTGCCATTGTCTTTTGGCTGGAATCTCCTGGTGGGGAAGGTTCATTGCCTTGCAATGCATCATTTGTTCAAATCGCTTGCCACACAATAAAATATTGTAATGTTGCCAGAGAGAGTCAAGAACATGCTAAACACTTCACTTTGGCTTCCTGGAAAACTTTTCCCTTTATTATTGACCAATTACCATTTTTGCAGGTTTCCAAAAACTTTCCATCTATTTGTTTTAGTTGTGGCTTTTCCAGCTCAACGCTTCAACTCAGCTGGCCGCAAATAAAACTTATTCCGTTTCAATTGACTTGTTTCCTGCCCTTTGGTTGGTTCTACTTTTTTTTTCTGTTAGTTTTGTGGCAAAAGTTTAATCTTTGGCTTTCCTGTGAACATTTCTCAAATAAATCAATTGTGGATTCTGTTTACTTTTGCGTGTTTTTTTTTGCAAGGGGCAATATTGGCTCATTCTTGGCTGTGTGTTGAACGAGTTATGATTCGTTTATTTTATAGGAAATGTGGAAGCGATATGGAACGATAAAGGCCTCTAAACACGCTATGCAAATTATTGCGTTGAACCGCAAAAAACTCACTAAAAATATGCGAATTCTTAATTTGACTTTTTGCCTCTGTTTGGCTAAGGCTAAAATGATGATTTAAGTATATATTTTAACATTTTATTAGAATACATAATCAATATCTGTATGATATATTGTTCTCAGAACTAAAATAAAACTATAAACTAAGAACACGTCCACATACTTCTCTACCTAACTGTTTAGCTAATCAAAAGTTGTAGTCAGTAGTTTAGCGATTGCCAAAAAGCAGTCGTCATCTCATAAAAATACATTTAAAATTTTGCAAAACCTTCAAAAACTATACAGAATAAAAGCAACAATCAAATCTTGATCGAGATAATGCTGCTATCCACCACTTAATGTATACGAAAGTATCTCGTAAATGCGCAGTAAAAGAGTTAAT